TTTGAGAAGATTGGAGAAACTTAATTTTTCGCCCGAAAAGAAAAAAAACGAAAGGGGTAACACTGTCGTTTTTTTTTTCGGGTCGAAATTTTGAATTTTGATATCTCAGCTCTGGAAGGGTCTAGAGCCTCCATTTTTTGCACTCAGGTCAAAGTCTCGTGGCCCTCTATCATAATCCAGAGTTTTGAGAAGATTGGAGAAACTTAATTTTTCGCCCGAAAACGAAAAAAAAAACGAAAGGGGTAACACTGTCGTTTTTTTTTCGGGTCGAAATTTTGAATTTCGATATCTCAGCTCTGGAAGGGTCTAGAGCCTCCATTTTTGCACTCAGGTCAAAGTCTCACAGCCCTCTATCATAATCCAGAGTTTTGAGAAGATTGGAGAAACTTAATTTTTCGCCCGAAAATGAAAAAAAACGAAAGGGGTAACACTGTCGTTTTTTTTTCGGGTCGAAATTTTGAATTTCGATATCTCAGCTCTGGAAGGGTCTAGAGCCTCCATTTTTGCACTCAGGTCAAAGTCTCACAGCCCTCTATCATAATCCAGAGTTTTGAGAAGATTGGAGAAACTTAATTTTTCGCCCAAAAATGAAAAAAAACGAAAGGGGTAACACTGTCGTTTTTTTTTCGGGTCGAAATTTTGAATTTCGATATCTCAGCTCTGGAAGGGTCTAGAGCCTCCATTTTTGCACTCAGGTCAAAGTCTCACAGCCCTCTATCATAATCCAGAGTTTTGAGAAGATTGGAGAAACTTAATTTTTCGCCAAAAAATGAAAAAAACGAAAGGGGTAACACTGTCGTTTTTTTTTCGGGTCGAAATTTTGAATTTTGATATCTCAGCTCTGGAAGGGTCTAGAGCCTCCATTTTTGCACTCAGGTCAAAGTCTCACAGCCCTCTATCATAATCCAGAGTTTTGAGAAGATTGGAGAAACTTAATTTTTCGCCCAAAAATGAAAAAAAACGAAAGGGGTAACACTGTCGTTTTTTTTTCGGGTCGAAATTTTGAATTTCGATATCTCAGCTCTGGAAGGGTCTAGAGCCTCCATTTTTGCACTCAGGTCAAAGTCTCACAGCCCTCTATCATAATCCAGAGTTTTGAGAAGATTGGAGAAACTTAATTTTTCGCCCAAAAATGAAAAAAAACGAAAGGGGTAACACTGTCGTTTTTTTTTCGGGTCGAAATTTTGAATTTTGATATCTCAGCTCTGGAAGGGTCTAGAGCCTCCATTTTTGCACTCAGGTCAAAGTCTCACAGCCCTCTATCATAATCCAGAGTTTTGAGAAGATTGGAGAAACTTAATTTTTCGCCCAAAAATGAAAAAAAACGAAAGGGGTAACACTGTCGTTTTTTTTTCGGGTCGAAATTTTGAATTTCGATATCTCAGCTCTGGAAGGGTCTAGAGCCTCCATTTTTGCACTCAGGTCAAAGTCTCACAGCCCTCTATCATAATCCAGAGTTTTGAGAAGATTGGAGAAACTTAATTTTTCGCCCAAAAATGAAAAAAAACGAAAGGGGTAACACTGTCGTTTTTTTTTCGGGTCGAAATTTTGAATTTCGATATCTCAGCTCTGGAAGGGTCTAGAGCCTCCATTTTTGCACTCAGGTCAAAGTCTCACAGCCCTCTATCATAATCCAGAGTTTTGAGAAGATTGGAGAAACTTAATTTTTCGCCCAAAAATGAAAAAAAACGAAAGGGGTAACACTGTCGTTTTTTTTTCGGGTCGAAATTTTGAATTTCGATATCTCAGCTCTGGAAGGGTCTAGAGCCTCCATTTTTGCACTCAGGTCAAAGTCTCACAGCCCTCTATCATAATCCAGAGTTTTGAGAAGATTGGAGAAACTTAATTTTTCGCCCAAAAATGAAAAAAAACGAAAGGGGTAACACTGTCGTTTTTTTTTCGGGTCGAAATTTTGAATTTCGATATCTCAGCTCTGGAAGGGTCTAGAGCCTCCATTTTTGCACTCAGGTCAAAGTCTCACAGCCCTCTATCATAATCCAGAGTTTTGAGAAGATTGGAGAAACTTAATTTTTCGCCCAAAATGAAAAAAAACGAAAGGGGTAACACTGTCGTTTTTTTTTCGGGTCGAAATTTTGAATTTCGATATCTCAGCTCTGGAAGGGTCTAGAGCCTCCATTTTTGCACTCAGGTCAAAGTCTCACAGCCCTCTATCATAATCCAGAGTTTTGAGAAGATTGGAGAAACTTAATTTTTCGCCCAAAAATGAAAAAAAACGAAAGGGGTAACACTGTCGTTTTTTTTTTCGGGTCGAAATTTTGAATTTTGATATCTCAGCTCTGGAAGGGTCTAGAGCCTCCATTTTTGCACTCAGGTCAAAGTCTCACAGCCCTCTATCATAATCCAGAGTTTTGAGAAGATTGGAGAAACTTAATTTTTCGCCCGAAAATGAAAAAAAACGAAAGGGGTAACACTGTCGTTTTTTTTTTCGGGTCGAAATTTTGAATTTCGATATCTCAGCTCTGGAAGGGTCTAGAGCCTCCATTTTTGCACTCAGGTCAAAGTCTCACAGCCCTCTATCATAATCCAGAGTTTTGAGAAGATTGGAGAAACTTAATTTTTCGCCCAAAAATGAAAAAAAACGAAAGGGGTAACACTGTCGTTTTTTTTTTCGGGTCGAAATTTTGAATTTTGATATCTCAGCTCTGGAAGGGTCTAGAGCCTCCATTTTTGCACTCAGGTCAAAGTCTCACAGCCCTCTATCATAATCCAGAGTTTTGAGAAGATTGGAGAAACTTAATTTTTCGCCCAAAAATGAAAAAAAACGAAAGGGGTAACACTGTCGTTTTTTTTTCGGGTCGAAATTTTGAATTTCGATATCTCAGCTCTGGAAGGGTCTAGAGCCTCCATTTTTGCACTCAGGTCAAAGTCTCACAGCCCTCTATCATAATCCAGAGTTTTGAGAAGATTGGAGAAACTTAATTTTTCGCCCAAAAATGAAAAAAAACGAAAGGGGTAACACTGTCGTTTTTTTTTTCGGGTCGAAATTTTGAATTTCGATATCTCAGCTCTGGAAGGGTCTAGAGCCTCCATTTTTGCACTCAGGTCAAAGTCTCACAGCCCTCTATCATAATCCAGAGTTTTGAGAAGATTGGAGAAACTTAATTTTTCGCCCGAAAAAAAACGAAAGGGGTAACACTGTCGTTTTTTTTTCGGGTCGAAATTTTGAATTTCGATATCTCAGCTCTGGAAGGGTCTAGAGCCTCCATTTTTGCACTCAGGTCAAAGTCTCACAGCCCTCTATCATAATCCAGAGTTTTGAGAAGATTGGAGAAACTTAATTTTTCGCCCGAAAACGAAAAAAAACGAAAGGGGTAACACTGTCGTTTTTTTTTTCGGGTCGAAATTTTGAATTTTGATATCTCAGCTCTGGAAGGGTCTAGAGCCTCCATTTTTGCACTCAGGTCAAAGTCTCACAGCCCTCTATCATAATCCAGAGTTTTGAGAAGATTGGAGAAACTTAATTTTTCGCCCAAAAACGAAAAAAAAACGAAAGGGGTAACACTGTCGTTTTTTTTTTCGGGTCGAAATTTTGAATTTCGATATCTCAGCTCTGGAAGGGTCTAGAGCCTCCATTTTTGCACTCAGGTCAAAGTCTCACAGCCCTCTATCATAATCCAGAGTTTTGAGAAGATTGGAGAAACTTAATTTTTCGCCCGAAAACGAAAAAAAACGAAAGGGGTAACACTGTCGTTTTTTTTTCGGGTCGAAATTTTGAATTTTGATATCTCAGCTCTGGAAGGGTCTAGAGCCTCCATTTTTGCACTCAGGTCAAAGTCTCACAGCCCTCTATCATAATCCAGAGTTTTGAGAAGATTGGAGAAACTTAATTTTTCGCCCAAAATGAAAAAAAACGAAAGGGGTAACACTGTCGTTTTTTTTTCGGGTCGAAATTTTGAATTTTGATATCTCAGCTCTGGAAGGGTCTAGAGCCTCCATTTTTGCACTCAGGTCAAAGTCTCACAGCCCTCTATCATAATCCAGAGTTTTGAGAAGATTGGAGAAACTTAATTTTTCGCCCAAAAATGAAAAAAAAAAAGGGGTAACACTGTCGTTTTTTTTTTCGGGTCGAAATTTTGAATTTTGATATCTCAGCTCTGGAAGGGTCTAGAGCCTCCATTTTTGCACTCAGGTCAAAGTCTCACAGCCCTCTATCATAATCCAGAGTTTTGAGAAGATTGGAGAAACTTAATTTTTCGCCCAAAAATGAAAAAAACGAAAGGGGTAACACTGTCGTTTTTTTTTTCGGGTCGAAATTTTGAATTTTGATATCTCAGCTCTGGAAGGGTCTAGAGCCTCCATTTTTGCACTCAGGTCAAAGTCTCACAACCCTCTATCAGAATCCAGAGTTTTGAGAAGATTGGAGAAACTTAATTTTTCGCCCGAAAACGAAAAAAAACGAAGATTGGAGAAAGTTAATTTTTCGCCCAAAAACGAAAAAAAACGAAAGGGGTAACACTGTCGTTTTTTTTTCGGGTCGAAATTTTGAATTTTGATATCTCAGCTCTGGAAGGGTCTAGAGCCTCCATTTTTGCACTCAGGTCAAAGTCTCACAACCCTCTATCAGAATCCAGAGTTTTGAGAAGATTGGAGAAACTTAATTTTTCGCCCAAAAACGAAAAAAAACGAAAGGGGTAACACTGTCGTTTTTTTTTTCGGGTCGAAATTTTGAATTTTGATATCTCAGCTCTGGAAGAGTCTAGAGCCTCCATTTTTGCACTCAGGTCAAAGTCTCATGGCCCTCTATCATAATCCAGAGTTTTGAGAAGATTTGAGAAACTTAATTTTTCGCCCGAAAACGAAAAAAAACGAAGATTGGAGAAACTTAATTTTTCGCTCGAAACTCAAAATTTCGACCCCCCCACCCCCCAAAAAACGAAAGGGGTAACACTGTCGTTTTTTGGGGGGGGGTCGAAATTTTGAGTTTCTCTGGTCTTCTTGAAACTCTGGATTCTGATAGAGGGCCATGAGACTTAGACCTGAGTGCAAAAATGGAGGCTCTAGACCCTTCCAGAGCTGAGATATGGACATCCCACATATAAAATAATTATTACCCTCTCTTCATCCCACACCCCAAACATGACATACAAAATGTTGTGGAACAGAAACAACAACCAGAGATATATTCATAAGCTATCATTTTATTGTCATCACAGTTTGCCAACAGTCCCGCGTCCAAGATTCTACATTGATTAAAAAAGAAAATCAAATGGTAATTATTTTATACGGAAAGCATTTATTTTTAATTCAGATGAGAATAAAGTTAGGGTTAATTAAAATTAAGGAAAACAAATATATTGATCTGAAATATTGCAAATTAATTTTACATTCATTCAAGTACTTCTAAGTCGGAAATTGGATGTGAACGGCCTCCCAAGTGCAGCATCCTAATATACAGTAGTCAACATTTTGAAGTGGATCATGAAAGTTTATCAAAGATAAGAACGATATTGTTCAAAATCCATGTGTAACTTTGATGAAAGGTTTGATCCACTTCAAACGTTGACGACATTTGTCGGAAATTGCCCTCTCAAGTCATTAACTACTGGGAATCTCTGGGATTATTTTAATTCTCCAGTTTCTTGAGTTGGACATAAATGTTAATCATGGCGGATGGGAGAACGCTTGCTGATTATTAGTTTTTCCACAACAGCTACATCACCTTGTCTTGTCGTTAAAATATATGTATAAATTTCATTGTGTTTTATACTCAACACTAATAACCTGTATTTGACTGAAATATAGGTTTTTGAAAAAAAAAAAAAAAAACTCAACATGAGCTAAACTAAGCTGGAGAACAAAATGTCCATATGAAAATAATAGTGAATTAAAGCAATGCATTTAACTCAAGTGATTAAATCGGAAATATATCAGCATCAGGAAAATCGACACGCGTTACCATTCAACAACAAACAAAAACAAGAGTGTGACATGTTTTTCTGGAAGCATTTTATTATCCAGAGATGCCTTTGAAATTCTATATTGGAAAATTATCATCATTTGTGGACTGTGTTCCACACATTAATATGACAACGGTTACAAGCGATCTCTCATGAGAACAAGTTAAAGTACATATAAGCCTGTATTTACACACAGCATCTGCTCACGTCCCAAACAAAGTCCACGTCGATCATGATGGAGAAGCGCTTCACATCCTCTCACACACAGGTTCGAGACTTTAGGTGTGTGTGTGTGTGTGTGTGCATGACTTACAATATCTGACAGATAAAGCGTCTCAGGAGGAAAAGAGAAGCTTCGGGACGTTTGTAGTGTGAAACTTTGCGTAAAAACAAAATGGCGACATGAGAAACAAAGAGCTGGATTCTAAAGTGAGGAACGTCAAACGGCCTCTCCTCACGCTTTCATTTGGAGAGTTTCTTCATCCTCTGGTCCAGTGCGGAGAAGTTCTCCTCCACCGACACCAGGTTCTCCTTCATGGTTTGCTGGACCTGAGAATATCATTCAGAGATCGTTTCATGAGAAATGTTGAAGGTTTGTGAATAACGCTGGCTCGAGTGTGTACACGAACGCACCTGCGTCAGGAGAGTGGTGTTGTCCTTCAGAGAGTTGTTGATCATCTGCTGTGTCGTGTCCAGATGGGTCAACAGCTGGCCAAACTGCATCGCTGCAATCCCACAGAAACACACAGTAAGAGGTCGGAGAACAACACAATACACACATGAACACTTCCTCTATCATAAAGAGATTACTGAAATGAATCTCATGAAACGTCTATGAAAACTATGTGCAATTATTCTAATAATAATTATTATTTTGATGAGGTTTGTTTTGGGGGAGGATAAATAATAATAATAATTTATAATAAAATGTATCAATTCAATTTTTGGATGGGTGATTGATTTAAAATAATAACAACAATTTTATTAGTAGCAGTACTATTATTTTGGGGGTATATATATATATATATATTTTTTTTTTTCCTATTATTATTATATTTTGCAGAAAGCAAGAGTTGAAAGAGATGATGAAGTGAAAGAATACCCTGTTCATGCAGTTCTTTGACAGCCGTCAGTCTCTGCACGACCTGCGGGAGGGACGTGGCCATCACATCCCACTTCTGAACCACATCATACAGCTGAGACACCTGAAACACACATGATGATGATGTCATCAGTACACTCAAGCGTGTGTCGCACAAGCCCTGAAAAGTAAGAAGCCAGAGTATCTTGATCGCCCCCCGGTGGCTGGTCCGGGTATAGGTCATAAAACTAAACTATTCAATTACACTGCAAATATCGTTTTTCCAAAGGTGGTTTCGGTCATTTGCTGTCGTTTTTAATCACACTGATCTAAGTTTTCTTTTTTTTTTTACAGTCTGTGGCCATACTACATCTGATGATGTCATCAGTACAGTCATGTGCGACGCACCTTATTCTGGGTCTCGGCATCCTCGATGGCCGCCTTGTGTTTGGCAATTTCATTCATCTTCCCCAGAACACTCTGAAGAAAAATCACACCGCAGTCAGTCTCCACAATAACAGCTCACATACAGTCAGACCGAACAATATCCAGACTACCTGTAGTCGGGCTTCCACCTGGTCCAGTGTGGCGGCATCCAGCGCACTGACACGAGCCTGCAGAAGCTCGATAGTGTCCTGAGAGATATGAGATATTAATATTCCCATCACATAACAACATTCACTCATTTTACATCAAGTTGTCAAGTGTTCTCATAATCTGCAATCTTCATATTTTCTGCTGATTCCACCAAAGTCAATAATATGCATTAAACTCCTTTCATTTTCATCAATACGTTGGTTGTTAACAATAATGGTGCTGTTTATTGATCAGTGTGTGTGTGTGTGTGTTCACCGTCAGACTGGCTCCCTGGACCCCTGCACTGAGTGGACCCTAAAAAAAACACACAAAAGGTTTAAAAGTTTGGATGTGTTGAGTATCATATTTGATCCATCAGCCGTTTACCGCTCCCGGGCCACGCCCCCGTCCCACGAACCCACTATTTGTCCAATAACCCACTATATTTTTTAAGGTTTTTCCGCAGTTCATTCAATATGCTGCAATTGGACGCGGCCCCACCGGCAATCTATTGAATGGGGATTCGGGTAGTGTTTTTGATAGACATGTTAATTAAAGTTCCTTTCGTGATGAAAACTATTTTACCGCACTCAGGAGGCCCCCGGGGCCCGTAGCACCAAGCACCGTCCCGAAATTCCACTGTCCGCGAACCCACTATTTTTATAATGGGATAAATGCTACGCGGGATGTCCATATCTCAGCTCTGGAAGGGTCTAGAGCCTCCATTTTTGCACTCAGGTCAAAGTCTCGTGGCCCTCTATCAGAATCCAGAGTTTTGAGAAGATTGGAGAAACTTAATTTTTCGCCCGAAAACGAAAAAAAACCAAAGGGGTAACACTGTTGGGTTTTTTTCGGGTCGAAATTTTGAATTTTGATATCTCAGCTCTGGAAGGGTCTAGAGCCTCCATTTTTGCACTCAGGTCAAAGTCTCGTGGCCCTCTATTATAATCCAGAGTTTTGAGAAGATTTGAGAAACTTAATTTTTCGCCCGAAACGAAAAAAAACCAAAGGGGTAACACTGTCGTTTTTTTTTTCGGGTCGAAATTTAGAATTTTGATATCTCAGCTCTGGAAGGGTCTAGAGCCTCCATTTTTGCACTCAGGTCAAAGTCTCGTGTCCCTCTATCAGAATCCAGAGTTTTGAGAAGATTGGAGAAACTTAATTTTTCGCCCGAAAACAAAAAAAAAAATGAAAGGGGTAACACTGTCGTTTTTTTTTCGGGTCGAAATTTTGAATTTCGATATCTCAGCTCTGGAAGGGTCTAAAGCCTCCATTTTTGCACTCAGGTCAAAGTCTCACAGCCCTCTATAATAATCCAGAGTTTTGAGAAGATTGGAGAAACTTCATTTTTCGCCCGAAAAAAAAAAAAACGAAAGGGGTACCACTGTCGGTTTTTTTTCGGGTCGAATTTTTGAGTTTCGATATCTCAGCTCTGGAAGGGTCTAGAGCCTCCATTTTTGCACTCAGGTTTAAGTCTCATGGCCCTCTATCAGAATGCAGAGTTTTGAGAAGATTGGAGAAACTTCATTTTTCGCCCGAAAAAAAAAAAAAACGAAAGGGGTACCACTGTCGTTTTTTTTTTTGGGTCGAATTTTTTAGTTTCGATATCTCAGCTCTGGAAGGGTCTAGAGCCTCCATTTTTGCACTCACATCTAAGTCTCATGGCCCTCTGTCAGAATCCAGAGTTTCAAGAAGATCAGAGAAACTCAAAATTTCGACCCCCCCCCCCAAAACAAAAAACAAAAGGGGTAACACTTTTTGCAGCAGATTCTGATATTTACATGAAGTTCTGATGCTTGTAAATCAATGAGATCTTTATATCAGTTGCAGATACTTCCATAAAATGCATATAAATATCAATATCTGCCAATAATGTGTCTTATAATTATATCATGATATTCAAATATATCAAAGCTCTGTAGTTTTAAAATATAAAATGCAATGCAATATTGAGAGATAAACAAGCCTGGTGATAATATTTGACACTCATGATATTTATAATAAATGATGATGGATAATCAGGTCAACCTGCTTCAGTCCAGCTGAAATATTACTAACAATATCAAAGTTATTCTCATGTTCACTTGATAAAACTCAGAGCAGATTTCAGATCATAAAGACTCGAGCTGAAGGACGTTTGTACAATTAAACTGAAAGACTTTTACTTGATAAAGAGTGTAAACTGTCAGTCAGAGACAGCAGGACTGGAGGAGATCCACATGTTTATCACATCATCTTCATTTCCAGATCATATCAGATATGATACAGTGGCTTTATAGGGTTAAAACAAAAGCATTAATCGTGCACCTGTTTATCCGAGCCGGAGCCGATCGACATCTCCAGCTCAGCCAATCGCCTCTCGAGCTCCGCGACCTACAGGCACAAACAGAACCTGTGCATCAGGAACCATATCAGGAAGCGCCATCACAACAGTACAGCTGTCGAACGCACGCATGTGATTCACAGATTAACTGCTACATTTAACCATCTTAGATGTATTGCCTTGCCAATTTACACATTCAAACTATTTTAAACGCTGAAGAAGAGGGGAAAATCGGGACTCACACGTTATCAGTGCGCAGAGAGAGAGAGAGAGTAAAAGAGGGAGGGAGAGTAAGAGTAAATTGAAAACTAAACTAAATTGAAAATTGAAATTGAGAGAAAGAGTGAGAGAGAGAGACAGAAAGAAAGAGGAAAGAGAGAGAGGGTAAATATATATATAATACACACTTTTTTTTTACTGATCCAAAAAAAGATCCGATCCGTGGCTCAAAAACCGAACCGTGAGTTTTGTGATGTAGGCCGGATGTTATCCGAAGCCGTACCTTGGCAGATTCGGTGAACTTCTCTTGCTCTGGTCGGCTGTGAAGCTCGTAGAGAATCACTCCATCCGGGCCTTTGGGTGGCCCCGTCTTCCCCTCCCCTCCTGAACCGCTCCTGACGCCCCGCGCCACTTCCAGCTGAGTCAACAACCGCCTGAGAGAGAAACAGAAGAGAGTGACATTAATGTTTCTGATGTTCGTTTTTGAAGCCTAAAGTGGGCGGAGCCGGCTGTCGCCATCTTGGTCACGCGTCACTCCCGGATAAACTAAAATGTGCTAGCTGAGGTGACGTGATGCAGACAAACGGCTATAGTGACATCAGCAGCAATCCACCTGTCACTCAAGTAGCCACGCCCTAAAGTATGCAGAACGTTAATATAATTTAGACATCATGACAGAATATGTGACCCGCTCTGGCGAAATGAGTCGGAAGTCGCAACGTTCCATTTTAAGATATGGGCCGATTATGTGGAAAAACAATGAAATAACAAAAAAAATTTTTTTTTGCTAATTTCAAAGAACAGACATTCAAAAATAATCTCCCAAAGTTTCGTAGTCCAGATAATTGAGTAAAGGTATTTAAATAACGATTAAAGTTGTCAAACTTTAAATTCGCTGAAATAAACATTGCTCTTCTCAACTCCCCTCGTCACCTCTGAGCATTTCCCGGCTATCCCCTGAAACGTTGAACTCACTGGAGGCTTCTAACCTAAGCTGTGTGAGTATATTTATCTGCAAGAAGAATATATGTAAGGCTGTAACGATCGCGACACTCAGATCCACGAACCTGTGTCGCGGTGTGAGAAGACAGAATCACGACACCGACACGTCCCTTCAACTCCCGGAGTTATCCTTCACGTCCAGACCCAATGCTAGCTACCACATCTTTAAATTACTATTAGTATTATTTTAAGTTAACATTATAAAATACGTAGACTTACACCACAAAACTAGTTAAATTACTAATTGTTTAAAATTGGGCAATTTCAGCGTTATGGAGGAGATCCATAATTCCCAGATAATTAAATCTTTTAATCAATTGGCCTATGTGAACCACACTGCACAAACCAAAAGTAATACTCACCGGATGAAGAAGGGTTGACTCTCCCCAGAACATAAAATCTTTATTTTATTTTCCGTGTTCGCATTTATGAGGAAAAAACAATCCGAACGTGACCGTTCTCTGGAAGCAGCACTAAAACTTTCACAGAGCTTAAACAGAAAGCAAGCACAAAGTCTTTCTTTAAAGTGAATTTCGTTTTAAAATAATTATCTTAATTTAAATCAATGTTTCATTAACCAATTACTAGTATTTAATAATAAGAAATAAATTGCAGACAATGGATAGGCTAGGCCTAATCACGACGCGGAGACGCGCGGCACGTGAACTGAAGTCTCATGAACCGAAAGTAAGCTATTCTGGCCTCACAGACCGGTCTACTTTTAAACACAACCATTCAAAACGAAAGAAAACAGACTGCTCTCTGCTTATTTGGGCTAATCCGTATGAAAACTGAATTTCTCTTTGACTCCTCTTAATCTTTCTGATTTTAGAACATTTTTGTAAAAGTGACTTTTTAATAATTTGTTCCCAAAAAACTTAAAAATAAGTTGAGCTTCAGCCTTGTTAAATTGCATTTATATATATGTTAATCTATTTGGTCAAATTAAGCTATATAAAATAAATAGTTTATCCCTTAAAATTCTATGGATTTTGAAAGCTATCAAAAAAAGGGCAAAAAAACTTTAAAAGCGATTTTCTCAGGTTTTCAGTTGGAAAAAAAGGGCAGACGACCAGAATTCAAATGTGTATATCTTTACAACCATTCAAGGTATGACTTTGACCAAGGTATCATTTGAAAGCTTACAGTGTTTTTTAAATTTTTAAATTTGGGTCACTGTGACTCATTTTGCTGGATCAGGTCACATATGCTTCTTCTTGAGTCTCTCCATCATTGTCTGACTTTGGTTTGAACATGAAAGGCTGAACAGTTTCTGACATTTTAATGTGTGTCTGCAAGCTGCTAAGAACGAGCTCTTGTAGCTCCGCCCCCTGTGCCAGGACCAGCAGCTCATTTAAAGTGACACACACAAAACAACGCGTTTTTGCTCACCCTCAAAAAGAGGGAATTTTAACATGCTATAAAAATGATCTGTGGGTATTTTGAGCTAAAACTACAGGCTAAAGGCCACAGAAGTCTCCACTCACTTGGCAAGAGCTCCGTCGGGGTCGGTGAGGTTGATGTGGGCGTTGGGTCCGAGCAGAGAGTCCAGATGAGCAGAAACCAGCTGCTGTTTGAGCTGCGCCGCTTGCTGAGCCAAAGCCACCGGAGTCAAGCGCTCCTCAGCACTGCTCTCTTTAGTGGTGACCTGCGGACACACACACACGCGTCACTGTAAAACATGAGCTGTTTGGCAGCAGCACTGCTATCTTCAGGGGCGGAAACAAAGCAAACAACAAAAGCCGTGTAATTAAATGTCATGTCATGTAAGTCGCTTTGTCTCTTCTCTATGGAATATTGCAGATGGTGATTCATCTTTTTTTTTTGAAGAACTATAAGCAGGGGTTTTGCATAAACCTAACCACTGTGTTAAGACTAGTTTGACCAAGTAGCAGTTAGATGAGAGGTAAAATCAGTATTATTTTTCCCAATTAAAAAAGTTAGAAAAGAAAAGAAAAGGAGATGACTAATTTTTAAACGTCACAGTAAAACATGTTATCATGAAACCTAAATTGACACTTTGTATCTTTTCTATGGAATATTGCAGATGAGTGTGTGAAGGAAAGAAGCAGATGTTTCAATGAAAACTAAAACTTGAAATGAAAATGAATTAAACCTAAATAACAATGTAAAAACAAAAACGTATAAAATGACAAAAGCACATAATAAAAATGAAAAATATATATAAAAATAAAATCCAATTGAAAACTAGAATAAAACTAAAATAACTGATATAGTTTCCGGTATAAAGAATTAACTTATACTGTGAAAGAATATTATTATTATTTATTACTTTTTCCATTTTTATTAAATTCCACTATTATTTATAGTCATGTAATTTTTATTTATTTATTTATTTAAACCAAATTTCATGTGAATATTGCAGACTTTTTTATTTATCTAATCAAATTTCATGTGAATATTATTATTATTTATTACTTTTTTCATTTCCATAAAAGTCCACTATTAATGTATTTTTCTACTTATTTATAGTCATGTAATTTTTTATTTAATCAAATTTCATGTGAATATTGCAGACTTTTTTAGTTTATTTAATCAAATTTCATGTAAATATTGCAGACTTTTTTAGTTTATTTAATCAAATTTCATGTAAATATTGCAGACTTTTTTAATTTATTTAATCAAACTTCATGTTGCAAATTTTTTCTAATTTATTAAATCAAATTTTATGTAAATATTGCAGACTTTTTTATTTATTTAATCAAATTTCATGTAAATATTGCAGACTTTTTAAATTTATTTAATAAAATTTCATGTAAATATTGCAATTTTTTCTAATTTATTTAATCAAATTTCATGTAAATATTGCAGACTTTTTTAATTTATTTAATCAAATTTCATGTGAATATTATGTATTATTTTTTTCATTTCTACGAAATGCCAATATTATTGTCTTTTTCTACTTGCATATAGTCATGTAATTTTATTTATTTATTTATTTAATCAAATTTCATCTGAATATTATTATTATTTATTACTTTTTTCATTTCCATAAAAGTCCACTATTAATGTATTTTTCTACTTATTTATAGTCATGTAATTTTTTATTTAATCAAATTTCATGTGAATATTGCAGACTATTTATTTAATCAAATTTCGTGTGAATATTGCAGACTTTTTTAATTTATTTAATCAAATTTCATGTGAATATTATTATTTATTACTTTTTTCATTTCTACGAAATTCCAATATTATTGTCTTTTTCTACTTGCATATAGTCATGTAATTTTATTTAATCAAATTTCATCACGTGAGTATTGCAGACACTGAGTGTGTATGAAAAGAGCAGCCGATGTCGAGTCCTGACCTGAATGCGCTCCACTTCCTGGCAGAGCTCGTGGATCTCGTTCACCAGCCGCTGGTACTTCTGCTGAGGAGTTTCCTTCACGCCACAGCCTTCCGCTAACTGCAGGACGAGAGAGGGCTAATCAGAACAAACGACGAGGGACTCCGTTAACGAGACAGGAAGCGGTTGGAGTCACTCACCAGCTCGTACTCTCCAGACTCGTAGCCCACCCTGCTCTTCTTACTGATGCGGTCCGAGAAATCTGCACCAATCACAGCAGGGTTACTTCAGCAACATACAAACAGCTTTTATTACTAGAGTGATTTACAACTTACTTAATCTTTCTCTCTTTCTTTTTATTTTTTTCTAACTAATCTTTCTTTATTTTTTCTTTTCATTTCTGGGAATTTGTTTTCCATTTCAAGTAACATTTTTTTAATGGTTTTTGTTTACTTTAATAAAGTAAAACATTAGTCAGACACAAGCAAAACCAGATACAGTCTGCAAACTATACTATTGATCAAATCCTTACTTTCAAAGATCAAATTATAAACTAACCATCTTTATTGAAACACTGTTTAGAAGCAAAGATGGGTTTTTGAGTCTCCATTTATTAGCTTAAATTTGACCAGTGACATTTAAAGTTTACATTTAAACATTCACAAGAGTGTAACAAATGAGAACAACAACAACAACAACTAAACAACAAAGATAAACTATCTTGTGTGAGAATTGCGTGAAGAAGTCGCAGTACTCACCCAAACCCTTGGTGCTGACGTGTTTGTCCTTGAACTTGTCGTACGCGGCGTTGGGATTGACGACGATCCGCTCCACGCTGTCGCTGCACAGCTCCTCCTGTGAGACGAGTCATCAACCAATCACACGAGAAACGCATGCAGCTGATCAAAAAGGAGACGCTTCTGAAGCTCTGATTGGCTGAATCTTTGAGGCAGCTAAGCCCCTCCCACAAAAGGGGCGTGGCTGATTGAAAAGTTGATTTTCAAGAGTGCGTGTCACGATCACACAGGACGTTTGTGCAGCTCAACTGATTTAATTCACTCAAACAGAAACACGTGACTCGTAGACCATCATGCATCAGTGCGTGCACAACTTATCCTCTCAAACACACACATCAATCTGACAGGAAGAGATTCAAGCCGACGGTGTTTAATAAGCTCCAGAGTCATCTAAAATACTGCAGCAAACGGACAACATCTATGCTTGACTGCAAAGCTGTTTAGTGTGTTACTACTAGGGTGCTTTCTATGGCTCATTCCTTCTTTAAATGTACATTTAGTTTAGTAAAAACTACTAAAAGTTGATTATGAAAGAAATCTATGAAACGACTTTAAGTTGGAGAAACATGAACACACACTTCCACAGACTGATGAATGCAAGCGTACGGTGAACTCGCACAGTTTTTGACACTTATCTGTTTTAATTGGCTGGGAATGTCAGAACGAAGGGCATTTTCACCCTCGTTTAAGTTGCATACACAGACTTTTCATTTCTGGAGAGACGAGGACATGACGATGATGCAGGACCTTTACGAATCTCAAGAACCGACTGACTAATTTTGCTTCCACATTTTACTTTGTAATGTTCCTGTCAAATGTTCAACCCTTTAACTGTCACCCCAAATGTGAAAAAATGCACTATCCAAACTTAAATGCTTGCAAACAAAGATTGAAAGTTGTAAAGTATGAAAAAGTTACGAAAGTTTAGATTTACCATTATTTAAATAATAAAATAATAAGCAGCACAACTGTTTCCAGGATTGATAATAAATCATCATATTAGAGTGATTTCTGAAGGATCATGCGACACTGAAGACTGTCGTAGTGACGAATATTGTGAATATTTCACAGTTTATCTGTATTTTTAATCAAATAAACATAGGCTTGATGAGCATAAATCATTTAATCATTATTTTATTTAAAATATATATTTTACAAATTATTTTACTATAAAATTACTATAAAGTTGAAGCCATGCATCTAAAAAGTTGATATCACAAAAAGTGATTTTGTATGTACCAAAAATATCCACCACACGCCATTGAATTATTTTTTGATGCATTTTCCTGTAACAAATTAATACATTTCTGTCCAAATATCATTTCTATCACAAAATAGCCACCAAATATGGCACCTTAAGACTCAGACCTATCCGACGATATCTTATATCCTGATAATAAAGTAGTTTTTCAAATATGAAACCTGACGACGCCCACTGGGGGAGGAGCCAGCTAAAATAATTTAACATACTATTTCCATGGTAACGTAATATCCGATTTCAAAACGGTTTTCACAGGATGAATTTTTTTAGTTTCTAAGCTTTCGAATAATAACTAATATATGATATTTAAAGTGATATTTAAGGCTTTGGCAGTTAAGGGATTAAAGAGATCTACATGGATCACAGCTATGGCAATATTGAGCAATAATTAATGCAAAGGCCAAATGCGTGTGGAGTTCACAGATGCACATGCACAGATCGCGATCTGATTGGTTTAGAGGAGTCACTGGGTGTTAAAGGGGAATCAGAAACTCTTACCAGCTCCTTGGGTCCCCAAAGACAGTTAGAGCAAAAGAGAAAGAGAAAAACAGAAGAGAGTGAGGAAGAGAAAGAGAGAGAGAGAGATATTAATGTAGTTATCATATGACATGCACAACAGGAGCTGAAGGGAAGGGAGAACAGAGCGCTGTGTTGTGAGTATCACTGGATTGCTTGTTTATTTCATCAGTCTTAATTAGAGCTGCAGGGCTCGTTTCCTGAACCGATACTGAACAACGACTGTGCATTTCTTCATCTGATCATCTTATGAACACAAAACTGCTCTCAGGTCAGGGGGTAATGTTATCTCCACCTGCTAAGAAGAGTTTTACACAAAGCACTCAAACACACGAGACAGTCTGCGAAAACCAGCATGTCAAACATTAGTCGTGTTGATCTGGGAAGAGAGCAGATGTTAGACGCACTTCAGGAATGAATAAAGAAGGATGAGGGAATTAGTGCATCCAGAACACACACACACACACACACAGAGGCTAAAGGAAGAAAGGCTGCACAATTCATCAAAACAAACCGTAATCACAAATCAAGAAGACTGCGATTAAAAAAAAAAAATCTGACTTTATTTAACAGTGTCCTTGTTACATATGTTACATGTACTTACCATAGTAATAACAGTAAATTATGCATATCTACATGCAACTAACCTTCAACCAAACCCTAATCCTAAAACCCTACAGTTAGTGCATGTTGCTTAATATCAATACAGGTGAAACTTAAAAAAATGTGAATATCGTGCACAAGTTTAATTATTTAAGAAATTCAACTTAAAAGTAATATATTATATAGACTCATTACATCCAAAGTGAGATATTTTTATAATTTTGCTGATTATGGCTTACTGCTTATGAAAAATTAGAATATTGTGAAAAGGTTTTCATATTGTTTTTATTTGGTATAATATTAATAATACTAATTATTTATTAAATTATATTTGTATAACTTGTATTTTATATTCATATTGATATATAATAAAATTGTGCAGCCCCTTAAATAAGCACAGCAAACTTTTTTTTAAATTGCATTTTAAATCACACACACACACACAAAATTGCAAATTAAATTTTTTTCCTTACAAATTGTGCAGCCCTAGACGTAATGTGTTAACTTATTTATATAGCACTTTTAAAACCGCAACGCGCAAAATGCTTTACACGATATAAGAACATATTCTATAAGCAGGAAGTTAGTGAAACACACACATAACTTCTGCCAAACTGTCAAATTTACCACAATGTGTTCCTTAAAACACACATAAACAGCTAAACGTCATTTCTCAGGAAGTTAGTGTTATTTCAACAAACATCATTAAGTTTACAAATTTAAGTTAGAAACTCTGCATACATGAGCCATATTATATAAGCAAAGTAATAATATGACAGGAGTAAACCTGTCACTTAGTCATCGACATTATTCATTGAATAGCTATATATAGCAGGTTACAACCTGTAACACACTTTTACCAATTCACACCTTTATCATAAAGTAATAAGCCCACAATATAGATATTACACACACAGGCAAAACTAGTTATATAAGAACCTGTCCTCAGTTAAAATAGGAGAAAATAATAAACACCCCATTTCTAATTGCAACTTTCCCTGATTAGATAACAGGCGAAAGGCAGGAAGATTTCAACCCATGCATTTACTGCATTCGAGAAACATGACGTCTTACTTGCACAAACTAGCATCCGGAGCGGGTCGAACAGTGATGGAGGGTTAGTGAACGGGGAGGGAAAGGAGAATTAGCTCTAATGTGAGTCACTGCACACAGAACAGAACAGCTCATCTCTCTCACACACACACACACAGAGATACTCACCGACTCAAACTGCGCCTGGTCATCCTCGGGAAGATCACTCGTCTCATAAACGTCAGGCTCGTTGGAGGCCTGTGAGGAAATTATGTCATTTTAATTATAATGCCATCATCACTTCAGTAATATAATGTCTAAAGCACATATAAGACTGTAATCCTCGAGAGTGTGTGTGTGTGTGTAATGTTTTTGAAAGATGGCTCTTATGCTCATCAAGCCTGCATTTATTTGCTCAAAAATATAGCAAAAAACAGAAATATTGTAAAATATTATTCCAATTTTAAATAATCCTTTTCTATCTTAATATCATTTTAAACATAGTTTATTTCAATGATCAAAGCTGTGGTCCAAGATTTCTTTTTAAATTAAATGCTGTTGTTTTTAACTATTTATTCATCAATGAATCCTGAAAAAATATCACAGGATATAAAAAGAAAACTGTTGATAATAAATAACATTGATAATAAATCTTCATATTAGAGAGATTTCTGAAGGATCGTGTGACACTGAAAACTGGAGTAATGATGCTGAAAATTCAGCTTTGAATATCTCACAATATTAGTTTTTTTATGCATCAAATAAACACAGACTTGATGAGCATAAGATACTTTTATCATAAGCATAAAAAAAGTATTGTTTCTAAACTTTTGACCGGTACTGGACCTTAACACAAACACTTTATAAACATTTAATTTACATTTAATATACCAAAAAAGCAGGGGGAAAACAGAATGAAAATATTTATGGATGTGATTTTAAAGACTTGTAAAAAACCTGTAATTGAAAACCCATCTTAATTGAGCACCACAGACTTACAGTAATCCTAATGTAAACAACACAGACTGGCATATAAGCATAATAAAAGACTGCAATAACGTGACATTTTAAAATATTGACATTATAATACAGCAATCTTACATCTGGCCAACGCCCTTAACATCTTAACATCTATTTCTTACAACCTAACGTTCCCTACTAAATAAAGGTGAGCAACAGCCCCTTTACACAACATATAAGCAACAGAGTTTGCTGGAAAATCAATCATTTAAGCGATATTTATGAACTCTGTTATGTTTAATAAGCATCAGTCGCAAACATGAGCTAACACACCTCTAAACCTCTAAACGGGCTTGAAATTCAATAATGTCAAATAACTCAATTACTGTAAAAACATCGTGTCTGTCTTATATTTACTAAGGACACTTAGTTAGGGTGTAAAAGTAAATTCATATATGAATGTTTCGCTCCGAATCACCTCAGAGCGTAACCCTCGGCTAATGCTAATGCTAATGTACCGCACTGTTATTGTTGATATGGACTGAATGAATCACTTACGATGCCCGGCAGGTTGGCATACTTCGGGTCGGCCATTGCAGCGCGTTGTGTAAAAACAGTTTAATGTGGATTTATATGCGGTGTGTGTTTCTTTACAGCAGTTTGATAGATAAATACACGGCCGAGTGATGCGGATGACGCGCGAGCGTACACAGCGACAGCTATGATGTCACTCACACAAACAAAACCTCGCGCAATCTCGCGAGGATTTAATTTCAAGCCCTTTAATTTCGTAATAATTTGTATACCCTGCGTTATGTATTATTTCAAAGAATGTATGGAATTTGTATTATTATCGCAACTTGTATTTGTTGTGTGTGTGTTGAACAATTATAATGCCTGTTTTTTAAATGTTTTTTTATAAAGGTTAATATACCAGGGTTTATAAATATTTATAAGCCATAAAGTGTATACATATACATTTCTCTGTCTGAAAGAAGTTATTGGCTCAAATAAATGTGAGTTGTCGTGTTGACAGCACAGGCCCCGCCCCCTGTCAAATACCGACCAATCAGAGAGTCGCTGTACCACGCACGTGTGTCTCCGTCCGTATCCCTGCAGCATCACTGCACATCTGCAGCACTAATTACACTCTCAACACATCCTCGAGAGAGCGATGCACAGAAAACACTCCAGTATTGTGCGTTTGGTCTGATGTTTTAACGACGGATTGTATCTGCACAATGTTTTGATGCGCATTCTGGGCGCGCGCTTCATCAGACGGATTATTGATCCTGATTATCTCGCCTATTGCTCTCCACGGGACTGTGTGTGCATTAGATCTGAAGATCTGCATCTAGGCTTCAGTCCAGCACCATCACAGGATGGCTGATGAGAGTAACAGCGCAGAATGCAACATCAGGGTGTTGTGTCGTTTCAGACCCCTGAATCAGTCCGAAACCCTCCGTGGAGACAAATACATCCCCACATTTCAAGGAGATGACACTGTTATCATCGGGGTAAGTTTATGCAAGTTCTCCTCTTCAGATGCAGGTGGATCACAGTCCAGATTCATTTTCAAAGTTTCATTTTCACACTCCTCCAGAAGATGGTGATGTTCATTTTTAATGAAATCTCACTAGTGCACACTGGTCTGATCAATGCGGATTTGTGTCGTATGCACATATTTATGCATATTTCTAAACAACAATTTACTGCAAAAACAATAGAATCAGAACTTCATATGCGTTAATAAAAGCATTAATGCATCTCTCTCTCTCTCTCTCTCTCTCTCTCTCTCTCTCTCTCTCTCTCTCTCTCTCTCTCTCTCTCTCTCTCTCTATATATATATATATATATATATAATTCCTGAGAACTTGAGAGTTCAACACAGTCAGATGAAATGATTCTTTAATGTAAAATCTGCTTCCTTTTTTAGTGTACATAGATTAATTTACCAAATAATTATTATAAATTCAGCTTGGAATTGTCCTCCATTTCTCCTCTATATTCATTTACACACACGAGTGTATGTGTGTGTCTCTCCTAGAACAGGTTTTCCTGCTTGAATGTTGATTATTCTCCTCATATTCTCCACTGTTGCGGCTCCTCTCTTCCCAGTCTGTCAGTAACGCTCTGTTCACTTCCTGTCTCTATGAAGCCCCTCCTTCTGAAAGCACACTGTGCTCTGATTGGTCGGCTGGAGCAGTGTGTTGTGATTGGTCTAGCGCTTCGAGTGTGTTTGGGAAATGTCCCGCCCCTTTTCATAACCGCCAGTTTAACACGCTACTAACTAACTTAACCAAGCCCCGCCCCTTTATTCTGCGCATTAATTATTATAATGAGGAATATTGTGACGTGTTCATTCCCGGGAGAAACTCAAGATTACATCCATCCATAGACCTATCTATCTATCTATCTATCTATCTATCTATCTATCTATCTATCTATCTATCTATCTATCTATCCATCCATCCATCCATCCATCCATCCATCCATCCATCCATCCATCCATCCATCCATCCATCCATCCATCCATCCATCCATCC